TGCTGTTCCCGCGAATTGTTTTTGCTTTTGTCGGCACTCCCATTTGACAATTTCCTCTGTCACTTTGCAACGCTTTAACTCTCGTCCGCCCGTGCCTCGGTCCCTTGGGATTTCCGGCTGTATTCAATATCTGGTCGCAAGCTACAGGTCGGATTTACGAAGGCCCACCTTATTTCGGCAAGACTCAACGAAATGGTCGCTGCCACGGGCCTGTACCAGCCCTTTCGAGCGATAGGCTATGTCACCGCCGACTCGCCGCTGAATGTGCAAATAAGAGGAAACGTCCATGCCCTTACGACCTCTGTTGGGCATTCGTTTCATATATACGGCGTACGTTCACTCCTGAGCGATATTGGAAATGGCCCGCGCAAAGGTGGACCCTAACGCAAAATTTACCATAACATTTCTTTTGCAGGGCGAGAAGCTGGACCTTCTTTTCACAGGCCCACACAACGACGATGCAGTAACGGCGGTAGCGGCGTACCGTGACCGCATTTTCTCGGCTTCGGGATCGGGAGTGTCTATAGCGGAGCGAGGGAAATCGATTGGGCGGTGGGAGACGGATACGCCGTGCATGATTTCTTCGTTGCTTGTGTTTGGCGATTTGCTGTTGGCGTTGTGCAGTGACAATGTTATTAGGATGTGGGACCACAGCAGTGGAGGTGAGTGTCGCAAGGGCTCGTGAAAATCGGATAGCACGTGGCATTAATGGGCTTTATGTCTTGTGCCAGAATACTACAACGAGATTACATTTCCGGATACATTCCGCGTGACCGCGGTGATCCACCCCAGCACATACGTCAACAAAATCTTGCTCGCGAGTCAGCAGGGCTCTATGCAGCTATGGAACATCCGGACCTTGCGACTGCTGCACGAATTCGCATCGCTGGGTTCTCCGATAACGTTCATGACACAAGCACCCGCGGTCGATGTCATTGCCATTGGCCTGCTGGACGGGTCTATCGTCTTGCACAACGTGCGCGCGGACGTGGAGATCATGAGATTGCGGCAAGAAGGCAAAGTCACGGCGATTTCCTTCCGAACAGACGAAAAACCTCACATGGTCACGGCAAGTATTTCGGGCGATCTGGCGATATGGGATTTGAGCAAGCAGCAGGTTTTGAATGTCGTTAAGGGTGCGCATAATGCGCCGATTCATACTGCGCATTACTACGCGGGCCAGCCGATTCTCATCACGGCGGGAAACGATAATGCTATCCGGCAATGGATTTTCGATTCGGCGGAGGGTGTTCCGCGGTTACTTCGCTCTCGTGGTGGGCATATGACGCCGCCGACGCGGATTCGGTATCACCCGCAGGACTACAGTCAAATTATCAGTGGCGGAGTTGATGATGCTATTCGTGTGTTTTCGGTTACCCGCGATGCGAATAGCATGGAGATTCCGTTAGGCGAGAAGAAGAACAAAGGGTTTAGAATTGATGACACCAAGATTGCGGCCGTAGCGCAGTTTGCCTGCGGTAAGAGTTGTGAAGGGTTTTAGGGAACAAAAGACGAGAGAACTGGCGGTTTATTTTGTTGATCAGCCCTAACGTGCGCGTTTTCATAGCTGAGGATGCAACTTCTAAGTCCGTCAACATCATTACTTCGCACGTCAAGGACCCACAAGCACGCATCTGCTCATACGGCGGCAAACCAGTGACAAAGCGCACGTTTGTCTGCACGGACAATGCGCTTGTAAAATCGGTTGCGATTAGCGCATGTGGGCATTTTGGCTTTGTCGGCTCTGCATTGGGCCGCGTGGATCGCTACAACTTGCAGTCTGGATTTTTGCGAAAGACGTATGGCGGCTCGGGGGGCGGGCATACGAAAGCGGTTGTGGGGATCGTTTCGGATCGGGTCAACAGGCTCGTGATTACCGCCGCGCTTGACGGGCTTGTCAAGGTATGAGGCTGAGAGCGAAACGAAGGTGCCAAGGTCTTCGGAAATATCATATCATTGACTCGCTTCTGTTGTTTCCCAGTTTTGGTCTTTCCAATCTGCATCGCTGTTGCACACCGTCGTGCTCCCGGCGCCAGTCTCGTCCATAGAACTGCATCGCGAGTCTGGTCTCCTAGCCGTCGTCTGCGACGACTTTGTCCTTCGTGTCGTGGACATCTCCACGCAAAAGATTGTGCGTGAGTTTGTAGGCCATCGCTCTCAAATAACCGACTCGTGCTTCACGCCAGATGGCCGCATGATCATTTCCACCTCCACGGACTCTACCCTCCGCACCTGGGATCTGCCAACGGGACACTGCGTCGACGTGACGCGCGTGCCGAGTGTACCACGCAGCATTGCCGTTGCGCCCAACGGCGACTATGTGGCCACCGTCCATGCTGACCAGGTCGGTATTTTTCTATGGGCAAATCGCTTGAACTTTGGCGGCGTGCTGGTTCGTCGCGTTGACGAGGACGCTGTCGCGGCGAAACCCGCTATGGCGCTGCCGCGGACAGGTGGCCTGGTCTTGACTGAAGAGGATGAAGCCGCGGCCGCTGCAGGCGCGGAAGAACTCCAGCGTGCCGAAAATCTTGAAAACGACGAGGCCGAGGCTTCTGCTCGTGTGCACGATGACTCGTTGATCTCGCTATCGGGCGTTCCAAAAGTCAAATGGCACAACCTGCTCAGTCTCGACGCGCTCAAGAAGCGGAATCAGCCAGAGCAGGCACCTAAAGCCGACCGCGCGTCGTTTTTCCTTCCATCTCTGCGAGAACAAAAAATGCAGGCGGAAGCAGCGGAGAAAGCTGCTGCAGCCGACCCGGACGCCACATCAGCGTCGCGCATCTTGCACTCTACGAAACTGGATTTCGACTCCTCCACGTACACATCGGCATTCAACGCGCCACAAAATATGGAGTTCGTCCGCTTGTTACGACAGTGCCATGATGATAACAATTATGAGGACGTGATGGCCGCGCTGCGCGAGATGCCGCCTAGCCAGATTGATGTGACGATTCGGACGCTTGATCGGGGTGCTCAGGACTTGGACCGGTTTGTTGATGCTATTGTATGGCTTTTGGATCGGAGAACGGACTTTGAGGCTGTCGAGACGTTTATTGCTATCCTTGTCAAGGTAGGCAAGGGCCTGCAGGCGGGCCTCGGCTTTGGGGGCCCGAAATTTACACAACTTACTTAACTACCGTTTTTTTTTTTTTGCCTTAGATGCACTCGACAGAATTGATTGCCAGCCCAAAACTAGACGAACTGCTTAAGCGCCACTCACAAAACTGGGACGTGCTGGAAAACATGTTCCAGTACGGCCTGTGTCTGCTCGATTTTGTCAAGGCGTAGGGCCTCGCCAACTCGCATCATACATCATTTCTTCTGTACTATTTAAAATACTATTCTGTAGCTGACACATTACTGTATCGGATCTTCCAGCTATGTGCGGTCAGAAACCCTTGGAGAGCATGGCGGGGAGTTACAGTGACGGTCTCAGCATCGCCCGCCCATACCCACCAGAAACAACACATCCAAGCCCAGCTCGCAAAGATACGCCCACGATGCCTGCAGTCCCATACACAGTCGCTCAGCAAATCGTCGCTCTCCTTTTGCCTGACATCATGATCAAAGTTGACGAGGAGCAATTTCTCTTCCTCGCGCTCACGTGCCACAGTTTCAAGACGGCAGCCTATCAGCATCGGCAAGCGCTCATGTTTACTCAGGCGGCCGCCCTTCGGAGAGGCCCTCTGCACAAGGGGTTTCCTTTCCCGCCTGAGACGAAGAACCCGTTTGTAGACGTGGATTATATATTGGCGGATTGCGTGGTTCATGCTCCTGAACATGTGCCGGCATTGCTCGAGAAGTATCGCAATCATTTCGATCGGGATATGAGGAGTGGTCTGTTGGTGGTCATTGCAGAGAACGGAGCCGTATGTTCAGCAACGCTTGGTCGACGTCTTCACCGCTCACCGTCGACGCGACCAACCTGTATGCTCATGAAGGACGCCGTATATGTGCGTGGTAAAGATGACCCGGCATACGATCCAGATTACCCCGCCGATCCATGCGAGTTTGCTATCTATTACCGCGACCATGGGGGAGTTAGGCGCGAAGCATTGTGGACGCCAGCCTTTGGAAAGCAGAACGTGAAAAAGTTCCAAAACGAACTGGCAGATTAGCCGAGAGCCCTCTTTGCTTATAGTTAGCGTAGTGCTTCAATCAGAAAGAAATATGTCTCGCAAATGACGGGCCATTTGTCTCGGACAGCACTGGAGGCCCAGCGAGTCCCGGAAAAAAAGACAGCAATTGATGCATCACATATCACTTCTTTCCCACTCACGGTTTTTGTATTATTTGACAAAATACTATTCTGTAGCCGACCAACTGCTGTTTAGGGTGGAGGCCGCTTTAAACTTTACACTACTCTTCCAGCGCGAGCAGCACGCCGTCTCCATCCGCAACCCCGAGCTCGCTGGACACAACAAACACCACGTCCCTGTTCGCGCCCGCGATGGCCGCCACGTCGCTGGTGCGGGCGATCAGAAACCCTTTGGACGGGATAATCACGAACGGTTCTTCAAAGATCGGCGGCGTCAATGGTGTCGCGAGAGATGGCTGCAGCGGCGTCGACGGGGCCCTGGCGGGACTGGGAAGCGGCAGCGGCGCTTTTATCGGGATTGCAAGGCGGCCGGAGGACGTGGCCAGTATGAGAAGTAGCAGTAAATTCAAAGACTGAGCAATCATTTTTTGTGGGAAGAGTCCAAACGGTTTCCACAAGCGAGTTCGGGCGTTTATCAACGGAGCACGCCGGGACCATGTGCTCTGTCTGTTCTGCTCCTTTGCCGCGGCGCACTCCCGTGCATGCGAGCAAACATGCCTATATTGGGAAGCCCCTGGGCAAAAAAATGAACTTGACGACCTCGGCCATTGACTCGGACGAGGAAGCTACAAGACCGTTGTGTGTGTGTACGCTGTGTATTTGCTGCCGGCTTGCGCTGGACGCAGGTCCGCCTTGACTTAGTTTTTCTGACAGCGCGGAAAAGAAAAAATTCAAAAATAAGTGCTTTCAGCCAGGTTTGAACTGGCGCCCTTCTGTGTGTTAGACAGATGTGATAACCAACTACACCATGAAAGCTTGGATGACAGTGACGACAGCGGAACAAATAAGTACTTTTATTTGAGAGTTTCCTCACCCGGACCTCGCTTGGTCTGAAGATGGCCACATCCGCAAGCGCGATCAACCGTTTCGAAGGAAAATTATAAGTTTAAAGCATAAAATATGCCGTAGTGGAATATGTAAACAGGTTTGATGCAGTTTTATTAGAATCACAGCAGATGCGACAGACAGAAGCAAATCGACAGCATCTAAAAAGCGTTCAGCGAGGAAATTCGTCCCAGCAGGTACTGAACGTGCCTGGAGAGCGAACCTAAACGTTAGTGGACAGCAAGGTTGTGAAAAAAATTTTCTGCATCACAGCTTCGTGAATTACCTGTAAGCAGCGCTCGGGGCGTACTGTGGAACCATGTGGCCCGACAGCTTGACAGAACTGTAGGTGAGGCCACGCTCAGTATGGGCGGTACCAAAAACGCCGGCCCCAGTCAAGCTGCCGAGGGGCCCATCAGCGTGGTACGGCACGAGGAAGGGTTCCACGGGTGGTTTTTGGAAACCTTGCATGCCACCCCAAGTCTAAAACGAAAATGGGTATGAGACAGTGAACGCAGGCGGGTTTATGGAGCTCACAGTGTACCATGTTTTGGATCGAAAGGAGGGTTCCATTCTCAATCAGAACAAAGTCGAGCTGACCGTGCGAGATGATAGTACGCTTGCTCTTCTCAATCACGCGCGGGAGCACCGTTGTGATTGGCGCCAGAGAAAGATCCGCTCCGTTTTTATCTCCAACAAAGACATTCCCCACGCTGCAGGTTGCCCAGGGGACGTTGGGGGCGTTGATGGCTTTTTTCACGTCGGCGCGGTCGAAGTAGACAGAGGCGCCGTCGGGGAGGTATTCCTGCGAGCCGGGGAAACCGAGCTGGTCCCACAAAAGCGGGCAGGTCGTTGCGATTTGATACACATCAAAACATCTAAGAAATAAATGGAATTTTTGTTCGAGGGCTGCGGTGAATTTTGTAGGCTGGCTGGAACGGTGGCTACTCACGGGTTAACAAGAAGCGTGGCCTCAAAAATCTGCATCCACAGATCGCATCCTTCCGCAGGATCCGCAGGCTGCGTCGGCTGGTGTTCTTTGAGCGGCGGGTATGTCAAGTACTTGTTCAGGTAGTTCGTGTAGCCACATTTGGCGGCCGTGGCTTTTGCAGTCGCAAGGAACGTGTCGTTGAGACCAAACATGTCCTTCCAGTGATCAACGTACGCGGCAACGGGAATGTTGTCTTGCACGTTTGCCTCGCCAATTGCCGGGTCATACATCAATGTTCCTGCAAGACGAATTCATGAGTCATGTTACGTTTGGGAATTGCGCCTGCTGAGGTGGTCACCTTGCAGATTGAAGTAGGTCGGCGCATCAGCCGAAAGCATGGCATCTCCAATGTATGGAATATAGATCCCAGCATAGGATTCACCGGCGATGTAGATTTTCTTATTGCGGAAGTCAAAAGTGTCCATCCAGATCTTGAGGAACCCCAAAAGCTGGGCCGCGGAGTCGGCGCTGCTCTTTGCATTGGGAGTGCCCTGAGAGAAACCGGTTCCGACGGGCTGTTCAATCCAAAGCACGTTGGTAAGCTTGGTCCAGGACCAAGGGGTTTTCACTGCACCGGATTTATTGTTTTTAGCAGAAAGGCCTGTTTCGATGGGAAATTTCAGCGAGTCGTCACTTACCAGGCCGGAACGTTCCATACTGCCAGCTGAACGGTCCGTTTTCCTGCAAGAACCCCTCAAGGGAAGAGCAGCCCGGCTGTAACAAGCAATACAGCAACCCGGTGAGTGATTACACAACTATGAAAAATGCGGCCATTCTGAGACACGCACTCCACCGTTCAACCAGATGAGAAGCTCGCTGTCAGATCCAATATTGTCCTTGACCTCGGTCGCGTCGGAGGGGAAGAACCAGAAATAAAGCTGACGCGGCTCATTGGGAGCCGTTGAGATTGGAAGCAGGCCCGCATACGATTCGCCGACATTGAACGGTACGTCGGGAATGGCGCTTCCATTTACAGCAAATTCTGAAAGACCCGAAAGATATCAGTGCCCGCGATTCTTTTTGTGGAAGGGTGAAGTTCCTCACTTTTAGTCTTTTCCGTCAAACACTTGGGCTGAGGAGAAGTTGGCTTTTTGGCGACCGCGGCGTGCCTCGAGCGGTGGTTGTCGGCCGCAATCCCTCGCCTCGAGAGCAGCTTGCCGCCAGCTCGGTGAGGCCAGAGTATCTCTCGGCGCTGAGCGGCCGTTAATTCCTCGGCGTTTGAAACTGCCGCAAACGCAGTTGCTAGCAGCGCGAGTATCGTCAAGCGCATTATTATGTTTTTGTCAGGAGTGGAAGAAAACGCAGGAAACGCAGGGTTCTAACGCCAGGCTAGCCACTCTTATATAGTAAGCGCCTGACCATTTTGGGGCCCGGCGGACCCTGATGTGTGGAGCGCCATGAGATCGGTATTGCGATGTGCGTCTCCCTTGCTGGAGTCCTGGAAACAATGGGAATGTCGCTGTCGCCAACCTGTCGGATTTTTGACGCGTCTTCTCTCTTCCGTGCTTCTCATGCGTATCTTCCTAATCCCCTTTTCGCGCTCCATTCCTTGTGATCTGCCTGTCCGCTGACGGCATACGCGTGGGAAGGTGGAGCAGCCACCCGCTCTCACCTTCGGACGGACTGGGCAGGCACCCCGAGGAAGGAAGGAGGATGGGGTGCTAATGCTGCCATACTAATTTCGTTTAAATAGTTTTGACAAACATTCGGCGGTGAAGGCATGAGCATTCTTAGTGCTATCATGTGCGCAAAACGCGCAAGTATGCACGCGTGTCAACCATTGCGCGCTCCCGCCAGATCAAAGGTACGGCGTCCAAGGCCAGTATAAAGCGCCGTCGTACGGACGAAAATTGTGATGGGCGAGAGGGACAGACGCAATATCGCCCGCCAGGTACAGATCTCTTCTGCTCTCAAGAGCTTATGCGCTGCGTGCTCTGACGACAGCCGGTGACGACGTGTGCACGGAGAGCACGAAGGCGCCCTGGCATTTGGCTTCAAACGTCGACGGAACAATGGTATACCGTCCAGCTATATAAACCAAGGAAAAAATCAGCTGCTCGGTCCTTCCGGCACCTCCCGGAAACGCACGACAGAACAATACCAACCTTCTAAAGCAGCATTCTTAATCACACAGAACCCGCGCCGGTAGTCACCGCTGCTGTGCACGACATGATCGTCTGTCCATCTGAGCTTGTCCGGACATCCGCCCATGACTTTGAGACTGACCGTGAGGTCTTTTGGAGCGTCAAGCGTGATGGTGATTGTGCTAGGGCACGTCAGTTCGATGATATACTGAGGGTTAAGCGCAAAAGATGCATGGTTCATCGATCCGCCGCCGGTGGATTCGGTCCAGCCGCCAGAAAACTGAGGAGGCAAGATCCCAATGAATGAGCGGTCATACCCTCATCCGAAAAAAACCGTGTGCGAAGGGTATGCGCCGCCGGGTATACTTACGCGATATACATGCGGGCAGACGTCCGCGACTTCTTGAACACGGAACGGCGACATCGCGTAAACCGTGAACGTATACTCAAGCGCGCGGATAGATTTTTCGTGCTGCGAGAGCTGTTACAGCAGAGATGGATGATCGTCAGTGACCGACAGTGTCACTATTTTGACGTCGTGCAAAATACCTTACCACAATCGTGTACTTGGAAATGCCAACGGGTGATGTAAACTTGACCTTCACCCCACGATTAGGAGAAACGCTTGGCAACCTGGTGCTTCGCTCGATTTCACTTACCAGGATATGTGGATTATTAATGTAAACTCCTCGGACGAATGGTGGTTCGGGATAATAGACCTTGTGGCCTTCCGTGCCATTATAAACATGCAAAGTGAGGTAGTCCGTATTCTCCTCCTATCCATAGAGTTGTGTCAGAGAGCTGGAACCTGCAATTATGGTACATCAAGAGCTCACCGTTTGCGTGACGTGTTTGGTCAGTAAGATCCAGACGGCGGCTAGCCGTACGTCATGCACGTCGACCTCGAGGGCGTACTGAGGGTTATCGCCAAGGTTGAACGCGTCATTCCGCGGTCCCGACGAGGGCCATGAGCTAGGATTCGCGAGCAGGAGTCAGGCGAGGAAATACGTATAGCAGGCGCCTGGCAACTCTGAACTTACGAATGAAGAGTATGTCGGTGGGCCCACATTTGGGGATTCCAATTGACATGGGCAGTGTCAAACCATTGGCAGATATCAGCAAAGGGAATCGACAAGATGCCTGGCATTGGAAACTTTAGTTAGAGCTGCTTAGCCAGCAAGTCATCAAACACCTTCGGTGCACAAACCCGATGACTCATTTGCGAGAACTTGTGGTTTCTGTATTCCCGGTGACTGCGCACGAAGCTGCCGCCACGGATTTCGAACCACAAGCGTCGGTACTGATTTCTTCCCAACTCCAATAACTTCAGTGGCGTCCACCACCGAGTAAGCGTGACCCGCAACCAGGCCGAGGTCCTTCGTGCACTGCGCCATCATCGCCGGGGTACCAAGCGTAATCAGCGCGTTGCCCGAGTGCAAGCCGTTTTTCAGGCGCTGGAAAAATTGCGCTTCGTGGAAAGAAGGATCTTTGAAAAAGACGTTTTCCGGGATCCAACCCGTCATCGCATGAAGGTCAATGCCCGAATTGGAACCCGGAAAACCGTACCCGCCCCACACTTTCAGGTACGCCTTTTCCAGAATTCCTGGCCAGATTGAGCCATCTTCGGAGAAGGCGCATAATGGACTTGATTGCCTGTCCACGGGCAAAAAGTCGTCCACGACAACCTGTTAAAGCCATGCGGTCTGTAAGCATGGCGTTAGAATGCTCCAGACAACGGGTGAACTCACTCGTCTGGCCACACCGTTCAGGATTAACTTTACGATGTACTTTCCCTCCGGATTGTAAAGCGGAACCGCGTCGCTTGTTTGCGGAAATATCATACTTGTAACCAGCTA